GTCTGGCAGGAAAGCGTTAGCCCCCTAAAGAAAAAAAAAAAAAAAAAAAAAAAACACCTCTCCAAAAAAAGTTTACGGTGCAGGGATCAGCAGTCAGCGTAATGGCTATGTCGTTGGACTTCCATGTAGTCAACCGCAGTTCGAGTCCCGAACCTGGTGGCTTAAACGCACGGCAGGCGCTGTGTGCGTGTATCTATGATCCTGAGAGGAGAATGGAGGAGAAGGGATTGCGGCGTGGCCATCCCTCCTGGGGGGTGATTTCTCGCTTTCTGTCTCTGTCTCTCTGGCAAGCGCACGTGTCCTGTTAATGGTGCATGCCAGCCAGTTACATAGTGGTTAAGGCACTGGATCCCACATGGCCAACTGCACGGTCTAAGTCCCAGACCTGGCAGTTTGAAAATCACACCTGGCACATGTGCATGCATGCCCCCAAATACTCAAAGAATGGAGGAAGAAGGGACTGTAGCATGGCCATCCCCCTGCGGGGGACAGGGGAGGGTGATTTCTCATTTTCCCCTCTGTCTCTCTTCAGCAAGTGTACACACCCTAGACTCAAAACAAACAAACAAAACAGTTAATGGGAAGCCAGCTGGTACTGTGGCAGTTAATCCAGCTGTGTCCAGGACTTAAACTCAGTGGCTTGAAACTCAACACCAGGTACATGTGCATGCATGCTCAGAATGCCAAAAACAGGAAAGGAAAAGGGACTGCAGCATTACAGTACCTCACGAAGGTGCTTTCTCATTGTTTTCCTCTCTATCTCTCCTTAGGGAGTGTATGTACCCTCTAGCAAGTTAAAAAAAAAAAATTAGGGGACCAGCTTATGGCGTGGAGGTTGCCACACTGGACTCCCACATGGCCGACCACAGTTTGAGTCCCAAACCTGGCAGCTTGCTTTCTCACTCTACCTTTCTCTTTGGTCAAAATTAAAGACTAATGATGATAACAAACAAATTTTTTTAAAAAGTTAATGGTTAGGGCCCACTCAGTGCAGTGGTTAAACGAGCTGGATCTCATTTGGCTCACTGAGTTCAAGTCCAACATGCACGGAGGAGATGCCTGGCATGCATGAATGCCCAAAGGTCCCACTGGGATAGAGAAATGGCAGAGGGAGAATTGTGACATGTCCACCCCAATGAGGGATCCTTTCTTCTGTCTCTCCCTGAGTAACAACATGAGCCCTCCAGCAATAAAGAAGGAAAGAAAAAATTTAACAGTTAAAATGTGCACCACATTCAAACCACTAACTACTACTCAGCAGTCAATGAACAAATTACCGACAGACACAAATCAGACAGATTTCAAGTTACATTACTAAATGAAAAAAAACGAAAAAACTTCACAATTCCATTTAGATAACATTTTAAAATTATAACAGTGTAAACACAGAATGGATTAGTGATTGTGAAGTTAGGAATGATGGGAAGAAGGTGGTAGTTATGAGAACAAAAGGGGTGGTATGACAGAGATCTCCATGGTAATGAAACAGTTCTGTATCTTGGCTGCAGCAGTAGATACAGAAATCTACGCGTGGGACGAGCAGATGACAGGGTGGTTAGGAGCGCTGGACTCCCACATGGTTGACCGCGGTTCGAGTCCCGGACCTGGTGGCTTGCTTGTTCACTTTCCCTCTCTCTCTCTCTCTCTGTCCCTCTCTGGTCAAATTAAAATAAATTAAATTAAAAGTAAAGTTAAATAAAATAATTCTTTTAAAAAATAAAGAAATCTACATGTAATAAAATAAAGATAACTATGTGTACACAATGTATCAATGCCAAAATCCTGATACAATCACTGAGAAAAAAATGATAGGTGTGTACAAGAGCTCTTCTATCTTTGCAAGGAAAGGGCACATGAACAACAGGGGGAGGAGGGGGCAGGGAGGGAGGGAGGAGAGAAAGTACCTTCCATGGGAAATTGTCACACTGCAATCCTTTTTCTTCTGTCTCTCCCTGCTTTCGGGATTTTATGCACACACACACACACACACTCACACACTCAGCATGTTTATCAAGCTGCTGTGTCCAGGACATTTGGCCATGTGGGATCCAGCTTCCTTAACCACCAGGCTATGGAACTAGCCCAAAATAAAAAGAATTTTAAAGTCTATCAGAAGCATAAATAATGCTCCTATACATTTATAATACATTTAATATTATACATATGATAATGTATATATTAACAATCTTTTTCAAATTTTTATTCAAGTTTATTATTAACGATTTTAACTTGACCAGAGAGAGGGGGAATGTGAGAAACCAAGCGGCCAGGTCTAGAACTTGAACCGTGATTGGCCATTTGGGAGTCTAGCACCTTTAACTGCCAGCCCCAAGATTAACATAATTTTTTTTCCTAAAGAGAGATTTTAGCTATAGCATGCATGCTCACCAGAGAGACAGAAAGTAGGGGGTGGTCACACCACAATCCCTTCTCTTCCATTCCCTCTCAGGATCTCAAGCATGCACGCACACACACCTAGTGTGAGTTTTAAGCCACCAGGTCTGGGACCTGAACCACAGTCAACTATATGGGAGTCCAGTGACATAGCCATTATGCTGTCTGCTGATTCCAACGTAACTGTAATATTACATAACAACATGTATTTAAAGTGTGTTTGCCTAGCACACTTAAACTGACTTTCTCCAGGATACGTACTCAGTAAATTATACTTTACACAATACAGTGATAATTGGGACCAGTTAATATATTAGCAAGAACTTCCTATATTTAGTAATTATTTCTAACATACTATAGGGAAAACATCGTGAATCTATTGCTTGAAAAACTTCACTATCCCATAGATAATCCTTTCTATTTTAAGAGAGTTATTAGAAAACTCTTTTCTACAATAAACCTAAACCATCACCCTATAGGTAACAAATCTCAAAAATTTTACACTAGACAGAATTTAATTTAAATCTTAGTTTCACCATTAGCTAAAAACGTATAAAGCTCCTAAATTATTATCCCAGAAGGGTAAATGAGATATCACTTGTACAGCTGAACAGTACCTAACAGTACATAATAAGACAATAGATGTTCAAAAAGGATCAGAAATTTCTTTTTTTGAGAGATTTTTACTATAGGGCATGTGTGCTTATTGGAGAGACAGAGGGACAGAAAGTGAGAAATCACTTTGTGAAGTGGAGGGATACCCACATTGCAATCCTTTCTCCTCCATTTACCTCTCAGGATCTTGGGCACACATGCACACATGCCTGCATAGTTGCCAGGTCCAGGACTCGAACTGCGATTGACTGCATGGGAGTCCAGTGATGTAACCATTACACCATTTGCTGGTCCCGTAGAACCAGAAATTTACAAAAAAGTAAAAACACACATACCAACACCACCTCCCTTCTACCCCACCCCACCCCACCACACATACCGGACACTCCTCTCCCTACACACACACAGTCTGGTTTAAGGTATGCTACTGAAAAGTCATTTATACTCCAGATATTAGAAATGGTTGTGTCCTAAATTTTCTCCTTTTACATGTTTTGTTGCTTTACCTTTAGTTTATAAATTGCAGGACTTCCTGGGAAAAGTTTAGCTGCTCTTTCAACCCAGTACTTGGCTCTTCCATCAGTAACATCATTTTTGCAAAGCAATTCTGCAATCTTCAGCACAAGGTCTTTTTGTGTGGGGTTTAATTCCACTGAACGCTGATGTCGGAAAAGAAATAATACATTAGTAAATAATAAATTGTAAAACATATGTATACAGATTCATACAAAAGTTAAAAAATTGTAACTACACCCATTAAAAATTATTTCTAGATGATGATGTGTTATCTCACAGTTGTTAAAATTAAAGTGTTGGGAATTTTTAGAAAGGAATCAAATAAAAATTATGACTTTATTTTAAATTTAACACACACACACACACACACACACACACCTAAAAATACCATTTTGAAACATGGTAGACTTAAAATGTGTGTTCCTTTGGGCCAAATAATTTAAAATCTGGGGTTGGGCCAGCAGGTGGCATGGTGATTAAAGGCGATGGACTCCCACATGGTTGACCATGGTTCGATTCCCGGACCTGGCGGCTTGTGTGTTTTGTCTCTCTTGCTCTTCCCCCCCAACCCCCGTCCCTCTCTGGTCACCTTAAAAAATAAATAAATAAAGTTAAATAAAATAATTCTTAAAAAAAAAAAAAAAATCTGGAGTCAGAGGTGCTGTGGTGGTTAGGGTGCTGGACTCCCATAGAGCCAAGTGCAGTCCGAGTCCTGGACCTAGTGGCTTGGAAATCATGCTGGATTCATGTGTACGTGTGTCCCAAATCCTGAGAGCATGAAGAGAAGATATTGCGGAGTGGCCATCCCTCCGGGGGTTAACTTCTCACTTTCCCTCTCACTGTCTCTCTGTCCCTCTCCACCAAGCACACACATCCTATGGCAAAAACCTTAAAAAAAAAAAAAAAAACAGTAATTTAAAACCTGTTCCAGTGTGTGTTACCTTATGGTACTATGATACCAATGCTTGTTTCATGAGAGCTATAAGATTTATTTAATTATTCATTACTACACTACTCTGGGGACTCACATGTTTGGCAGTGGAAAGGCTAAACTTTAATCCTAGGACTTACCTTATAACATTCAACAGCTTTGCATACATTTTCCTCCATTTCATAAAGAAGACCCAGAAATCTGTGAGCTTTGGGATCTCTCTCTTGCACATTAATATATGTACATATGTATCTGTTTTAAAAAGTTATATAAAAATAAAGAATCTTTAAAGTATTTAATTTATAACTATATTTAAGTGCTCACTGTAGAATACATCTTAAACCAAAGCAACCATTAAAATAACTTATATTGTTCAGTTATCACTTTTATACTGGAACATGCAGATATAATTTAAAAGCATTCATAGAATGACATGGATACTTAAATACTTTACAATACTTAAATCAGAAACATATAAAGATTTGACAGTATACTTACTTTATTAAAAAAAATATACCAATTGTTTTTTCCAGTGTTACCATACATGAGAAATGGGCATAAAAATTGCTTTTTCTTCTAATCACATTTTGTTAAAGCATTAAAGATATTTGCATATAAATTAAAAAGTAATCACAGTAAAGATTTTTAAAGTTATCAAATGCGAAATACTAAGATCAACAATTTCCCATATAATAACTGAGAGACTACATTTACCCTCTAACCCAAGACAATTTTTAGATAAAGAATGTTAAGCCAAAAAATTTCTTGCCCTACATACACAGGCAGCAGCACTAGGCTAGTCCTTAACATGTGTCTGGGAGAGTGGTACATCCCCTATTCCAGGACACTTAGGCAGAAATGCTGAAGAACATTCATATTTATTAACTACTTCGAAGAAGGACATGAGGTTTTGTAAAACTAAAGCATGTTTATTTACAGTTCAACACTTACTTTTTAGCAAGATCATATTCTTTAGCTTCATAGTACAGCTTCGCAAAATAAAATCCTTTCATTGACTTCTAAAAAAAAATTAAAGGGGTATTTATTTTTCATATTTTCAAGTATTTTTCAATTTATTTTAAAAAGATTAAGAATATATTAAAATATTTTGTTGACTTAAAAGGTAAAGAAAGAGGCTGGCGGGGGGTGGTTAAGGGCGCTGGACTCCCGCATGGCCAACCATGGTTCAAGTTCCAGATCTGGAGGCTTGCTTTCTCTCTCTCTCCCCCACTCCCTCTCTGGACAAATTTAAATAAATAAATGAATGAAGAAAGTTAAATATTAAAAAAAACACACACACACATAAAAAGTAAAGGAAAATGCTTGAAAAATGCACAATCTAAAAAATGATTCCACGTTTTCCAAGTCCTATCATAAAACAAAAAACTAGGGACCAGCAGTTAGCATAATGGCTATGTCACTGGACTCCCATGTAGTTGACCGCGGTTCAAGTCCCGGACCCGGTGGCTTAAACTCACGCCGGGCATGTGTGCATGCGTGCCCAAGATCCTGAGAGGAGAATGGAGGAGAAGGGATTGCAGTGTGGCCATCCCCCCTGAGGGGTGATTTCTCGCTTTCTGTCTCTCTGTCTGTCTGGCGAGCGCACGCGCCCTATAGCAAAAACCTCTAAAAAAAAAAAAAAAAACAAAACCTAAATTTACGCAATATCAAGACAAGCAGACATCAGAATCTATATCTGCCTTGGAAACCTTAGAAAGCATGTGGTATCACATTCTCACTTTACAGATTAAGTAAACAGAAGCCCAGCTTCTCTAAAGGTGGAGAGATACACCAGAAGCCCTCTTTTCCAACCAGGAGTAAGCCTCTAGGCTCAATGTTTCAGCAAACATTTCAGGAAGTGGGTATTTAAGGGACTGTAGACTCCCCATCCAGGCTCTCTACATATCAGTATTTCCCACAAGAGATAAAAAGGCAGAAGTAAAAATTAAATTCTCAGGAAATAAACCAAGTCTACTCTCTGGCTCTTTATTTCCACAAACTCTGAGGTCCAGAACACTGGTACACATGAGATTATGTTCTACCCATGTGATAAAGCTATCAAACATCTTCCTGAATACTATAGAAATAAAAAATGTATTTAGTTTTAAAAAAATGTACAGGCGATAGAGTATGTTTTCATATATATGTATGTTTTTGAATAAGCATATATGAAACTTGTGTTGTATTTTAAGTTTTAAATCTTCTAAGAAACTCCTATTACCCACGACAGGAAATGATACAACGTCGTTTCTGCCCAATGCTCCCAATGTCAAATGAAGAAACTCAATGAAAGCAGTTAAAAAGAGGAATAACTATAATTCTTCATCTAGTTATAGAAAAGATTTTTCTAAATTTCTAAGGGCAATGATTTTTAAGGGAAATATATTCCTTTTGTTTTTGTTATTTCTTTTTTTTTTTTTGAAAAGGGCATGTGCTCTAGACAGAAAGCGAGAAATCACCCCCAGGGGGGATGGCCAGGCCGCAATCCCTTCTCCTCCATTCTCCTCTCAGGATCTTGGGTATGCACGCACATGCGCCCGGCTGAGTTTAAGCCACCGGGCCTGGGACTCGAACCGCGGTCAACTACATGGGAGTCCAGTGACACAGCCATTATGCCAACTGCTGATCTCTATTCCTTTTGTGAAGAAAGGAAAAGGTATCACTAAAATCAACCAGTGAAAGGATTAAACCCCAAAAGAAGGGTTTCTTTCATAGCCATAGTGGTTACAGGAGCAGGTTCCCATATGACCTACCACACTTTGAATCCCACCTGTGGAGGCTTGAGAAACAGGGAATGTGTGTGTGCCCCAAATACAACGGGATGAAGAAAAGACTGAAAGAGATTATGGTGTAAACATCCCATTGGGAGCATGCCTTCTTCCCCCACTTCTGTCTCTAGCAAATGCACATGCCCACAGGCAAGCCAAAAAATAAAAACAAAAACAAAAAAGGATAAACTCACTGAAATGAGATGTTACAATTAAATACAAACTTGAAGTTTGCAAGCTCTGGTGCCCACCTGAATTCTATCTACCCTTGTATCTGATCTTATCTAGGGAACCATATTTTTTAGGAGCACTAACATAAAAATAAAATTCATATATCTGAGGATGCACAAAATTTAGGATTCGTTCACTGTACCTACTATTCACCAGGCAGACACTGGGGAAGCTGTAGTAAAGAAAAAGCCTATCTTCCTAAAGCCTATGGTGGGTGACAAGCAGAGTGGGATGAGGGTGAGACTTGCCAGTACCCCATCTATTACTTAGTAGGCCTCATTTTATAAAAATACAGATTGGTACAGGGCTCACAGAAGAGACAGAGAGAGAAAGTGAGAAATCGCCCCCCCAGGGGGATGGCCACACCGCAAATCCCTTCACCTCCATTCTCCTCTTGGGACTTTGGTCACACATGCACATGCATCCAGCGTGTTTCCCAAGCTGTTGGGTCTGAGACTCGACTGTGCAGTCAGCCATGTGAGATCTGGCACCTCAATCTCCAAGTCACCTGCTGGCCCCTAGTATTTCACATGTTAACAAATCAAAAAAAACAGTATTTATCTTACAAATCACAAGTATTCTTTTTTTGGAGAGATTTTTGCTATAGGGTGCATGCACTTGCCAGAAATAAAGAAAAAAAGTGAGAAATCATCCCCCCAGGGGGATGGCCATGCCGCAATCCCTTCTCCTCCATTCTCCTCTCGGGATCTTGAGCACGAACGCACACGCAACCAGCATGATTTTAAGCCACCGGCTCCAGGGCTCGAACCGCAATCGACTATATGGGAGTCCACTGACAAAGCCATTGTGTTAACTGCTGGTCCCGAAATCACAAGTATTCTAACACTGTACCCATTTGGTCGCCAGTGTTCCTTCCTTCTTAGTTGGTAATAATAGTGAGGCACAAACAATAGCATCTTAGATCTATTGGGTTATCTGGAAAGTGATGACACATTTTTACATAGAAAAACAAAGAAAAATATTCATGACTTTCCTGACAACCTAAGAGATAGAGCTGTTAGTAAAGGTCTCACTGAGGAAATGGTGACTTAATAAAATGAAGTAGTTACCTAGGGCAGACAGGTAACAGATGAACCATAATTCAATTTATCCCCATTGTTTACTGTATAATTTGTTTTGATATTTCCTTCTTATGAAAACTGCAGGAAATGCTCTTCGGTCAAACTATCTTGGTGAAATATTCTTTCTCGTAACTTGGAAGATCCATGCTGTTCCATTAGAAGCCATTCCTTCTCCAGTTTGTTCCCAGCCTCTTCCTATGCGCACACTGTCTTCCCTAAGAATTGGTCCTAAGCCCGCTTTCTCTCAGGAAATCTCATCTGTAACATACACTAAATCTCACCTATGACTACTGACTTATATGTTGACTACCAAATCTCTCCCGATTTCTAAACTTACATGTAAAATACCATGGACTAGGCCTGTCAGTCCTTCTGTGTATTTCAATCCATCTATTTTTCTGTACTTCCATTGCTACTACCTAAGCCCAAGCCTGCTATGTCCTCTCCTGAGATTACTAAACAAGTTAATTCCTTTCTGTTTCTCTATTTATTTTTCTTCCCATCAAATCCATTTACCAGAAGGGTATCATTTTAAAACATAAGACAAATCACGTTATACCTCTTTTAAAAAAAAAATAGGTTTTGGCCACAGGGTGTGTGCACTCATGGAGAGACACAGAGGGAAAGTAAGAAACAGCCCTCCAGGAGAGTGGCCATGACACAGTCCTTTCTTCTCTTGGGACACTGACACATATCCACCAGCGCCCAGTGTGATCCTCAAGCCACCATGTCTGGGACTCCAACCATGGTCAGCCATGTGGGAGTCTAGCACTTTAACTACCAAGCCACCTGCTGGCCACTTTTTTTTTTTTTAATTTAAAATCCTTACATGGCTTTCATTACACTTTGAGAACATCCAAGTTTCTCACCAAAGACTAGAATGACCTGCCAACCTCTCCAACTTCACCACTGGAGATACAGGTGAACAATCCCATTAGAATCTCACTGTCCTAGTGAAATCAGAGCTAAAGGAATGGGCTTGAGAATCAGCTAAAGAGATCCCATTAAGCACAGCTCTGGACCAGCAGTGAAGAGACATGAGAGCTGCAGAATAAGTGGGAGGCCTGCTGTGCTGCTTCCCCCACTTCAACTCCTTCCTATACAATGGGGAGGTAAGGTCTGGTGCAGCACACCTGTCAAAGGGTAATACAAGTGGGACCAGCAGTTAGCCTAACGGCTATGTCACTGGACTCCCACGTAGTCGACCATGGTTCGCGTCCCGGACCCGGTGGCTTAAAACTCACGCCGGGCGTGTGTGCGTGCGTGCCCGAGATCCCGAGAGGAGAATGGAGGAGAAGGGATTGCAGCGTGGCCATCGAGCACACGAGCACATGCGCCCTATAGCAAAAACCTCTCCAAAAAAAAGCACAAAAAAAAAGGGTAATACAAGTGTCCTAAGTCAAGGAAGACAGAACACTCCAGTGGAGCAAAAGATTATCTATCTATCTATCTATCGTGTCTTTTTCTTTTTTTTTTTTTTTTTTACATTCAATCCCTCTATATCATTACAGCACACAAAGTTAATTTTCCCAGCATGAATATACTATATATCAGTCCAGTCAAAGATACTACCATACATGTTATTAGGGCTTATGAGGGCCAACAGGTGGCATGGTGGTTAAGAGTGCTGGACTCCCACATGGCTAACTGCAGTTCAAGTCCTGGACCTGGCAGCTTTTTTTTTTTTCTCTCTCTCTGACTCTCTGTCCCTCTCTGGTCACATTAAAATAAACAAATGAGTGAATAAACAATTATTTAAAAAGTTAAAAAAAAAAAAAAAAGAAACAAAGTAGGGCCTTTCAAGCCTTCTAACTTTTTTGGGTGTATAGTATGAGGCTGTCAGAAAAGTAAACATACAGATCAGCCGGGTTTGGGTGGTCAACCCTTCATAGAGAAGCACTTTTTGGTCCTTTCTGTCAGTTATTCCTACCTTTGTGATGGGTAGTTTACCTATCATTGGCTGCATCCTCACTAATACAGTAGGTTTGAATTGTCATGAGACAGGTTAGTTTCACTCTACTGCTAATGGATGTTTTCCACAATTATCCTTTACAAGAGGAACTGCAGTTCAGACATCTGGTATATGATCTACTGAATAAACCTAACATCGGCAACGTTCTGACTGCTTCTAAGAACCCCAACTAGGCAGAACACAGACACATAGTAGAGCTTCAGATAGTGGCTCTCGCACCCTTCTCTGACTGAACTAAGTCCCCTTTGATTGTTATTTATCATAACATAGTGTTATTTCCTTCATGATAATAAGACAATTCATAATTATTTTCATGAATGTTTATCCCTTAAAACTGTAAGCTCCATTTAGGTAGGATTCCTACACTACCATAGAACATAGAACACTACCTGGCAAGTGGTAGATACTATTTATTAAAATACACGTCAATCGTGCACCCACAATTATGTCCTTGGAACAAATTCCTAGAAATTAAATAACTAGTTCAAAAAATAAAAAAATCAAAACTTCCCCTATACTACTGATTTTCCTCAATAAAGTTTATATTCATTTACTCTCCTACTCAGTGTTGGAAGGCCTAAGAGTAAGCATGTGTTTTTTGGGGGCCAGCAGGTGACATGGTGGTTGAGGCGATGAACTCCCCACATGGCTGACCACAGTTCAAGTCCCAGACCTGGTGACTTACTTTCTCACTTTCTGTCTCTCTCTGGTGAGCGCACGTGCCCTGTAACAAACTAAAAGATAGTAATGATAATAAATAAAATTAAATAATTCTTAAATAAAAAAATGAGCATGTATTTTTAAGAACTCATTGTTTTCACTGATTCAATCTTTACTCATTTTAATGGTAGGCAGAATAAATACCAGAGTCAATTTTATCATTCTCCAATAACTATTCTCCAAGACCATTTTTTATAGGCACATTGAAATATATGCAGTATAAATTCTCTATGTATTTAAACCATTTTCATTTTTGAGAGGGTGGGGAAGATGGAGTCACTAACCTCTAAAGATTCTTACTCATATTGCTACTTAAGGGTGTTTTGCTAACAACACCCATGCTGTCATTCACCTTTGTTTCATATTGATGAAACAAAATTTTGATTTTAATGTAATAAAAATATTATTTGATGCTTACTATTTCTAATTATACTCTAAGAAAGGCCTTTCTCATTTGAGATCCATGAAATATTAATCCATATTTTCTTTCCATTTCTCTAAATTTACTTATAAATCTGAAACTTTTGTAAACAGCCTAGGCCACAGCTTCCTTTTAAAAAAAATCAGTAACCATCAGTTGTTTAAGCAACATCTACTAAATAGTTCATCTTTCTCTGTCAATTTGTCTAATTCTTATGTGTTATAGCATCTTTCCTTATAAAAATACTCCTAATTCTCAGCAAAGATGGCAACCACTTGCTACTACTGCCAAGTAAACAGCTTATCTTTTTTTTAAATCTTGAAACTTACACATGCACAAGCTTAAAATGTTAACTTATTAAATTACAGAAAAGCAGGCTAGCCCCATGGTTTTGAGATCAAGGATGCCAGATCCCACAGTCGATAAAGCAAATTGAATCCCGGCATCAGCATATGTGTGTCCCAAATTCTGACAGGATAGTGAAATGAAGGCAATGAGATTGGGGCATGACTATGCTCCATTAGAAGATGCTTTTTCCAGGAACCAGCAGTTGGCATAATGGCTATGTCGCTGGACTCCCACGTAGTCGACCACAGTTCGACTCCCAGACCCGGTGGCTTAAAACTCACGCCGGGCGCGTGTGCGTGCGTGCCCAAGATCCCGAGGGGAGAATGGAGGAGAAGGGATTGCAGCGTGGCCATCCCCCCTGGGGGGTGATTTCTCACTTTCTGTCTCTACGTCTCTCTCTGTCTATCTGGCGAGCGCATGCGCCCTATAGCAAAAACCTCTCCAAAAAAAATAAAAAAAGATGCTTTTTCCTATGCCTCCCTCTTTTTCTTTCTCTCTCTAGCAAGTGCATGTGCCTTCTAGCAATAATTTTTTTAAAAATGGAGAACAAATTTGGAAAGCATATTATCTAATAAGGTATAATATCCAAAATAAAGAAAGAATTTCTACAACCCAACAACAAAAACACAACCCAATCTAAAAATTCAAGACATGGGGCCACAAGTGGCATTGTGGTTAGGGCACTGGATCCCACATGGCCAACTTTGCAGTTGAGTCCTAGACCTGATGGCTTGAAAATCACATGCAAGTTGTGTTGTGCCCAAAATCCCAAGAAGAGAACAGTGCAGCATGGCTACCCCCTGGGAGGGTGGTTTCTCACCGGCTGTCCCTCGGCCCGCCCTCTCTCTCTCCAGCAAGTGTACTCACCCTAT